ACAGATTTCTGTCTTAGCTCAGGATGGATGGCTCTAGAGCAAACTCATTTATGCAGTAGCCAAATTGCTCGCTCACAGCTTTAATGCCAGTAGCTCACCAAGTCTAATTTTTGCTCACAAGACTCCACAGCTTAGAGGGAGCATTGCCCCAGACCCTAGTCTGATACTTTAACTACTATACCAATACTGGCTCATACGCAAGTTTATGACTATTACCAGCCAGTTAATGGCTTAAACACATCTGATTATTCAGCTAAACTTTCTTATCTAAATTCATTTGGGTAGCCATACTGGTCTGAAGCAGCAGAACGAAGTTTGAGTCCAGTGGCGCCTTTTAAGACCAACCCAGTTTATTCAAGGTATAAGCTTTCGTGTGCAAGCACACTTCCACAGATCTGTGGAAGTGTGCTTGCACACGAAAGCTTATACCTTGAATAAAACTGGGTTGGTCTTAAAAGGCGCCACCGGACTCAAACTTTGTTCTGTCTTACCTTTCTTTAAAACAGTGACCAGCCTTTTTAATATATGATCTTAGCAACACAAGCAAAAATGTTCTCAAACCCAAACTGTAACCTGCCCGGCCACCCTCCTTTACAGACAACCTCCAAGCATCACTATAGGTGGTGGAAAGGGCCATCAAGTCGCAGCAGCTGACTTAGGGTGACCCCCTCATGGGGTCTTCAAGGCAAGAGACCTTCAGAGGTGGTTTGCCATTGCCTGCCTCTGCATCAAAGCCCTGGTATTCCTTGGAGGTCTCCCATCCAAACACTAGCCAGGACTGCATTTATGCTGGCCCGATTTAATGTGCCCCCCTCTGCGGTTTTAGCAGGAAGATTTAAGAAAATCCCCTACTCTGTAAGGTTCTGTGCTTGTGATTCAGAGGAGTTTGAAACAATCGAACGTGTATTCCTCTATTGTAGTTTGTATGATGACATTCGGGAAGCCTATCTAGAAGATACGCTTAAGAATGATGCCAAGCGATCCGAGGACAGGAGGTTGTATCGTTTATTGGCTTAACAAAATATAGCGGTTACTGAAGCGGTTGCCAAGTTCCGTAGCTGCCTTATAACGAGGAAGCTGTGTGTTAAATCCATGAACTGAATGGCGAATGTATGATTATGATCTATGCCAATAAAGGTTTTATCACTATAGATCCCCCAGACTTACTGCCAGCTAAGTTCAGAATCTTTTCCCGTGCCCTACCTTGACCAAACTTAGGAGTCCCATTGCAGCAACACTCTGGCCATCAGAAGAACAGCAAAATGGATTTAGGATGGTGGAAGGGAATCGTTGCAAGTTGCTGTTGATGTTTTTCTACCCAAGGCCAGGACTGACTGAGAAAGGTGAGGCAGTAATTTTGGGACAGAGTGAAAAGGCATCCATTTATCGGTGATCCGTTTTATTACTGACAGCTAGATTTGAGTCCAATAGCACTCTAGACCAACACGATTTGGGAAGTATAAGCTTTGCAAGGGAGCTTTGGCTAAAAGAGCTTTGACTCTCAAAAGCTTAATTAAAAAAAAGTTTATTCAACCAATAAGTTACATCATTCATATACCAAACATAAAACGACAAATCTAAATATACCAATAGAATGCATCAAGGAAATGCCAAATGCTTGATATGACTAGATTTCCATCTCTCCCAAGGCCATCACAACTCGTTCTTTGCAGGAAGGGAAATATCTCAGGCAAGTCAGTTTAATAGCATCAATTTAACCCAATCCGAAAGCCATCTTGCCTGGCCGTGTCAAGACACAAAGCTTAAAATGGGAAACCTCACAACCTCAAAATTAGTAAAATCAGAGCCTGGTTTTGTATCTTGGATTTTCGTGGCCACTTTTTTTTAAAAAAAGGCAAAAATCATAACTTTTTTTGGTACCAATGGTCCCTCTGCAGTGGTACAGAACTCTTCCATTTTGGGGCAATTACCAATTTTGCAGCAGTACATAACAACGCCACTAGCTCTTTTCTCTTTGTCGAGATTTCCCTGTCTGGCCACAATTCTAAGAGTAAAACTTTTGCCTTGAATGGTACATTATATGAGACAATCTCACTAACTTGGGCATGTATCATCCACCAGAAATGCTCTACGAATTGACATGCCCACAGGTACCTATTTCACTACAACCACGCCAACATACCGGGGAGGAAGATGGATGCAAATGGTGCAGCCTCTGAGGCGCAAGATACCATCAAGACATACATTTAAAGGTTACAGCTCTAGCTGATAAAGTTTTGATCTCAAAATATTAGGGCTCCAGATCCACTCCCACTGAAAAGCTTAAAATTTTGTTAGTCTCTAGGGTGATCAATATAGGAATATCTGGGTGCACTTTTCACCTTGAGTGCTCTCCTGAGAGAAGAATACCATTTAGAGGAGGATGAAGTGTTTGTTTCAAAAGACATGTTTCCAACTGAAAAGCATTGCTATTTATGTCCAGCTTGAGAGATCCATACATTTCCAATTATTACAAACAATGAAACTGGCCCACATGCATGTCAAAGACACAAATCCCTTTGATTTTTTTTTCTTAAAGTGAAAGAGAAGAGTCTGATCTGTGTCAGTTGGCATTAGCTAGTACAAGTGAGGTATCCACTAGTACTTTTCAGCAAACGGCAAAAAGGGAATTTTGTGGCACTTTCAAGCATTTTATTTTTGTGGACTACAGTCCACTTCTTTCTTCCACATGACTCCTGTTTATCATAGTAAGTATGATGTATGAACGGAGGACCATAACAGACACTCTTCAAACACAACTGCTTTTTGCCACTTAACAATCCCGTGAGGACTTGCTGGAAAGCACCGTCAACTCACAGCTGATTTACGTGACCCCCATAGGGTTTTCAAGGCAAGAGACCGTCAGAGGTGGTTTGCCATTGACTGCCCCGATATTCCTTGGAGGTCTCCCATCCAAATACTAGCTAAACAAGGCCAACCCTGCTTAGCTTCCGAGATCTCACAAGATCGGGCTAGCAGACGTACTCCTTTCTAAACCCATTGATTCCAATGGGTTTAGACTGTGGTAACTGTTTTAAGGAGTGCAACCATTAATCTTGATCAGAAAGAAGGTCCTGCAGTAGAGTTACTTCACTTTGGAAAGCAAAAAAGAGAACATGTTTCCAGACCTACTGCTTCACACAAGTGATGATCACTATGTCAAATTTCATCTTAAACACCCCTACTAGTGAAGCTGTGATCATTGCTACTAACTAGGAATATTCATGACCTTCCAACCCCAAAAGAGGTCATTTGCAACCGTTTTTTAAAAAGACTCTTATGAATGGCTGCAGTCACACACACTAAATAGTCCACTTTAAGTGCACTTTCCAACTGGATTTTACTGTGTGAACCGGCAAAATCCAGTTGGAAAGTGCATTGAAAGTGGATTACTTAATGTGTGTGACCAGAGCCTAAGAGGATGGACACGCCACCCCTGGGCAAGTACTTAGATGGGAGATCTCCAAGGAATACCGGGGCCGGGACGCAGAGGCAGGCAAGAGCAAAAAAGAGGACATCGGGGGGGTAACCCTGTCCTGGAGCCTTTCTCCCTCTCCCACCCCCGCTAAGAACCCAAATTAATTTGTTGCTGAAATCTAAACCGCTTCCTTGGAGCGGTGGGGGGGACTTCAAGAGGAGCAACCGTTTTTAAAAAGGACGGAGGGAAACCAGGCATCGAAGCAATCACTCTGCAGGTCCGGCTGCGAGTCCAGCCAGGCCAGACACCACCAGCCCCAAGAGAGAAGCTTCGGCGGCTTCGAGGCCCGCGCGTCTGCGCCTCGCTCCGCCGGGGCGCCGCGGCTGGGGAAGGCGCGCTTACCTCTTCTGCTGCAGCAGGTGCATCTCGTCCAGGCTGCACCGCCGCCCGCCGCCGCCTCGGCTGCAGCCGGCTCCGACGACGCGGCAGCTCAGCCTCTTCCAGAGCGCGCCCAAGAGCCCGTTCTCGCCAGGCACCGGCACCCCCATGGCTCCGCAACGCCCCAGCAAGAGCCGCCGCCGCCACTCAGAAATCCGGCGCCGGGGTTTCTTTTGGCGCGGCACACCGATGGCCCTGCCCGCAGTCCGAACCTAGTGGTGATGGTGGGGAGCGGAGGGCGGCGCAAGGCAAGAGTCCCGCCGGCCTCGGCCACTGAGGGCTTCCCTCCCAGGCAGGCAGGCAGGGCGGCTCCCTCGCCTGGAGAAGGCGTCTGCTTTGGGAAGCGTCGGCCGCGCGTCCTCGGCCTTGGACGCAGAGCTTCGCCCGCCCCGGACTTGCCCTTTCTGGCCCCCGCGGATCAAGCCGGCAGAGCCACGCTGGCCTTGGGGAAAGGGAGCCCAGGCGAGGGATATAGCGGCCTTCCCTGCAGAAGGCGGGTCGGAGGCAGCCACGCCTCTTCTTCTCGCTCGGGCGGGCGGGTCGCGCGGTTCGTGGCTGGGCCGGCGTCGAGGCCGCTGCTGCCTGGGGGCCCTGAGGGCGGCCGCCGCCCTTCTACGACACCAGAGCCAGCGGGAGGCTTTCCGCCTTCACGCCCCGCTGGCCAGGGGCTCCGTGGCGGGGCGTTGCCAACCTCCCGGTGGTGGCTGGGTCCTGGAGATCTTCTGTCACCGGAGATCGATTCGCCTGGCGAAAGTGGCCACTTTGGAAGGTGGACTCTGTGGCATTACGCCCCTTCCCCAAACCCTGACTGCTTTTGTCTCCACCCTCGAAATCTCCAGGTGTTTCCCAACCTGGAGCTGGCAACCCTATCTGAGGCATTGGTGGCTGGCATGTTGGAGACACATGACCTTTGGCTGCCTGGTCTGGCAAGGTGTTCTTTGTTTAGATTCACCGTGGCAGCTAAGGGAAGCCTCCGTTTTTCTGATTAATGGGAGGTCTCCAGCCACCACCTGGAGTTTGAAGAAGAAGAAGAGATTGGATTTATACCCCGCCCTTCACTTGGAGTCTCAGAGCGGCTTACAAACTCCTTTCCCTTCCCCTCCCCACAACAGACACCCTGTGAGGTGGGTGGGGCTGAGAGAACTCTGACACAAACTGCTCTTTTTCAAGGACAGCTGTGCCAGAGCTTGTGACTGACCCAAGGTCACATCAGCAGGTGCAAGTGGAGGAGTGGGGAATCAAACCCGGTTCTCCCAGATTAGAGTCTGCGCACTTAACCACTACACCAAACTGACAGCCCTAAGTGATAGTCATGATATGAGTCTGTTAACTTAAAAAGAAATCTACAATCATTTAAAAAAACCAAAAAAAGAGATACAGGGGGAAATGATATGGGTCTGTTCTTCTCCAGTTGGTTGCAGTGTTGAAATTGAGGTGGGTACTTATGGGGTACCGATTAAGCCAGTGTTTCCCAGGGTGATGGCTAGGCATGCCAGGGTGCCCATAACGTGTTTCCTGGTACCCAGTTGCTTTGTAATTCTTGGGAATCTACAGGGATGCAACTGCTTTTTTGATGAGCTTAAAAAAACCAACGTTCTGCACATATTCAGAACAGCTTTATAAAAATATTAAACACAAAGTAGAAATACAATAGCTAGTAGTAATCCCCCCCCCAAAAAGGAATCAACAAAACAAACTAATTGTGCATAAAATGCACCACTGCTCGGAAAATGAAAACTAGGCAATCAAAAAGAAGGGGGTGGGGAGATAATCAGTTAAACAAAGCTTAATCGATAGTGTAAGTGAATGGTGGGCTCTTATAGATACAGTTTTGTTCGAAACCCATCTTCAAATTTTGCTACATTGATAGAAGAAGAAGAAGAGATTGGATTTATACCCCGCCCTTCACTACCCAAAGGTGTCTCAGAGCAGCGTACAAACTCCTTTCCCTTCCCCTCCCCACAACAGACACCCTGTGAGGTAGGTGGGGCTGAGAGAGCTCTGACAGAACAGCTCTTTTTCAGGGACAGCTCTTATCAGAACTACAGCTTGCCCAAGGTCATCCAGCCAGGTGCAAGTGGAGGAGTGGGGAATCAAACCTGGTTCTCCCAGATTAGAGTCCACGCACTTAACCACTACACCAAACTGGCTCTCTTTTGGTTTTCCATCATGCAAGAAAGAATTCCCAGTTGAAAATTGTTTCGGCCTGAACGACACAATAATTTTTTGCATGGGCTGGGTTGACTGACCCAACCTGCTTTCCCTGCAGCCAGATGTGCAGCTGCAAGGGAACTTATTTCCCCAAGTGAAATGGGACGTTGAGCCCTGTTATGGGTAAGGTTGCCAACTCTGAATTGGGACATTTCCTGGAGATTATGGGGGTGGGGTCTGGGGAGGGGAGGGACTTCAGCAGGGTATAGTGCCACAGAGACCACCCTCCAAAGTAGCCATTTTCTCCAGGGGAGCTGGTCCCTGTAGTCTGGAAATGTTGTAATGCCGGGAGGACTCCCGGCCCCACCTGGAGGTTGGCAGCCCTAGTGGTGGGGCTTCAAGCACACTGAATGCATCAGGAAAACAGCACGGGGGAGGCTGGAGCTCTTTCTCCCCCTGCACTGTGGTCCCAGTCCGAATTGGGCCCTGTGGCCCTGCAGCTGTATTCTGGAACACCTGGTCAGTCAGAAGAACCCCAGCTCGTGGCCAAGCATGTCATACTATTTGGACTTAGTTTAAATGACTTCTTCTGAAAGCCTGGCAATTTGCTGCATTTTATTCACCCGTATCTTAACAGACTTATAGAACACGTTTTTGTTTATATTTCAGAACTCAAACCTGCTATAGAAAACATGTTCCGGGATTGAATGCCGGCCCGTTCGAAGCCCTGAACACTATTTGGTGTAGTGGTTAAGAGCGGCGGACTGTAATCTGGAGAACTGGGTTTGGTGTCCCCACGCCTCCACATGCAGCCAGCTGGGCGCTCTTGGGCCAGTCAAGCTCTCTCAGTTGTTCTCTCAAGAGCAGTTCTCTCAGAGCTCTGTCAGCCCCACCTACCTCACAGGGTGCCTGTTGTGGGGAGAGGAAGGGATGGAGACTTTAAGCTGCTCTGAGACTCCGAGTGAAGGGTGGAGTAGAAATCCAATCTCCTCCTCCTCCTCCTGCCGTTTTGGAATCAGAGCTTGTACTGGAGATTGTATTGATTCCTGCATCTCATCTGAAACGGTGAATGGAATGATGCCATTTTCCCTTCATTTTTAAGAACATGCACAAGGGGGGTGAAGGAAATGCACACAAAGTCCCACACACACCCCTTCAGAAACCTGGTATGAGGGAAAGAGAGGACTCTTTTATTTCCCTTCAAGGGTCTTCCCCACCTCCTGTTTTTGCTCCACAACAGTCCTGTGAGGTTGGGTTAGGGTGAGAGAAAGTGCTGGTCCAGGGTAACCCAGTGAGCTGCTTTGAAATGACCTCACAACACTGGGCCAGGAATTGAGCCCTGGTTCACATAACACCCCCACCCCCTCACCATACTGCTGCTATTAAGTAGGAGCAAAACCCAAGAGATGGTTTAGCTGATCACCGGATGTCATATTGAGTTCTGGACCTGGCTGTCTCTCAGCCTCTTCCTGCTATATGGGATAGTACTAGTGACCTGATTCCTAGCGGTGTTGTAATTGATTGGATGATGCCATCGATTGTTATTGATGGTGCTCATGACATTGTCATTTGAGGTTATCTTATTGTTCTTGAATGAGTGGCTGTGTTTTGAAATTGGATTGTGTATTTATTGCTGTTGTAACCTGCCCTGAGCCTGCTTGTGTGGGAGAGAGGGCTAGAAGCCTGATAAATAAACAAATACAAATGTATGTGAATCTATAAATTATGATGGTGTTCCTACTGGGCTGCCAGCAGCCATCACGGGCTTCCCGAGCAGAGATTCCCTCATGTCCCCTCCTCTCAGTAACTCCTTTAAAACTGGTATAAATTATGACTTAATTATTTTTATGAAGTTTTTTGAACATTAAAAAGAGAAGCACAGAGATCCTTGTACTGTGATGGTAAAAAGGTAAAGGTAAAGGTCCCCTTGCTCGAAAGCCAGTCGAGTCCGACTCTAGGGTTGCGGTGCTCATCTCCGTTTCAAAGCCGAAGAGCCAGCACTGTCCGAAGACATTTCCGTGGTCATGTGGCCAGCATGACTGAACACCCAGGCGCACGGAACGCTGTTACCTTCCCACCGAAGTGGTACCTATTTATCTACTTGCAATTTCTTGCTTTCGAACTGCTAGGTTGGCAGGAGCTGGAACGAGAGACGGGAACTCACTCCGTCATGCGGCACACTCGGGTCTCGAACTGCTGAACTACCGACCTTCCACAGCCTGCAGTTCAGTGTCTTAACCACTTGAGCCACCACAGCTCCACACAGTGATGGTAGTTGCTGCTGAAGCAGATTTAAAAAAAAAAAAAATCTACACAGCCAATCAGAAGTCCTGCTAGGCAAATGCACCAATCTGGTCCCACCCACTTTCTAAAAACACTTGACAGGCACCAGGAAATGTGTTGGTAGATGCCATGGCACCCATGAGCATCACACTGAGTACTCCTGCCGTAACTGTGTATCAGTTTAGAAACTAATTTTTAGTGCAACATATTTGCAAGAGGAGGCAGTTTTATTTGGGTGGTTTGGGGGTGTGATGGGCTATCAAGGGTTAATGCCTGACAGAGTCTGAGAACCTTTGAGTGACAGGCTGTTCAAACAGAATTCTGTGGAGAGAGTCAGTTAAGAAATGACAGTTGGGAACTGACAGTTGAAGAAGGTACAGTTTATCCCTGACTGCAGGCTGGGAAAGTGGCAGAAGGAGTGAGTGAATCAATGAGGATCCCCATTCAAGCAGAAAAGGGAAATTGCTTCTAGTGAAGAGAAGTAATCCCTACCCAATGAAAATGGAAATAGCTCTTGGGGCGGGGGGAGTGATCCCTGGTCTATGTATATGTATGTTCTTGCCTTCTAGACTTTAAGACTCAGTGAAACTCAGAAACCTATGGTTGAGCATTTAAGCGGAAACTGAGAAGAAAGCCTCTCTCTTCAAAGTTTAAAGCGCTTGTTGAATAACAGAAG